GACAAATTTATCCTGCAGTTTCAAACACTTCACCGTGGGCATACTTCTGGAAAAAAACCCAACACTTCAGTGTCACTCAGATGTTCTTATCTTTAAGTTTTATAGCACTATATCACACTGTCATACTAATACTGTTGAAGAAAAGGTGTACCAGTGTATTGAATACACATGCATAATATGCTTTTCAGATCCCTTTAACCTGTTTATCATTGGCTGTTAAATATCCTTATAAGTGGCAGTATGAGAAATAGTTTGGAGATAGGCAAGAAGAAGCCAAATTTGCAGCAGTTCAGCTTAGGAATGGCAAATGACATCATCATTACTGTATTTCTTTCTGTAGAACTAAAGTACACACTTTATTGTACTTTATCTTCTTTCTCTCAGGGTTTTTTTTTCCTGCATGTTTCACAGCAGGGAGTGCTAGTGATGCTGTTTCCTGGGAGACATCTGAAGTTATTAGTTTGGACATTAAACACCCTATTTAACTCTTTGTGATTAAAAACAGGTGTAAGGGAAGCTGCATATGAATAAAATGTTCCTCTGGCAATACAGAGGTAAATATCTATACTACAGTCAATCTTATTCAGCTAAATCAATTCAGTTTGTATTCACATCATATTGCTTTGGATACTTATTAACAAATATTTTGAGACAATATTTTCATTGTTAGCATCAGGAAAATGAGTTTTATGGGTAAACTGAGCCAAATTTTCGGAAGGTCAAGTTGGAAAAACTCTGTTACTTGGCTGAGATTTTTGTCTGAAATCACTTGCTTCAGAAAAGTCTGTTCAAACACACTATTTTGTCAGGAGAAAATATATATATATATATATATAACATATATATATGTTTTTTTTTAAAGTAGACAATAATTTATTTGACTTACTCTGAAATATAAGATAATTGTATTTGTGTACATTGAGGCATACATGCATAGTGTGCTGCAAGCTGGAAAACAAACAGACCACTTTGATTAACTCAAATATTTTTATAACTTTCAGTTAGTGAAACAGTCAGGATTGCTACTATTTCCTCTTATAAATTGTCCATTTAAGTTGGGGAAATGCTTGTATACAAAGGATTTATATGAAATGCCAAAATTCATTTGGTGCTTGGTGCTATGCCATATTTACTGGTTTGTATATCAGTTGGTCAATGAGATTTCCTAATTGTAACTGAGTACACATTTTAAGCAACTGCCTCCTAAAATGACACAAGGCTCTGTTATTTTATGAAGAACTTAATTTATATGTGATGGATCTGATATGTACCTACCATGGATCCAACATATTGCTTTCCTAGTTGTTTGGAGCTGGTTTCCAGGTATTATTTTGAACATATAATTCTCTTTATTCAAAGAACAGGTCAGCATTATATGTCTGTGTGTGTGTGTGTGTGTGTGTGTGTGTGTGTGTGTAAAAGAGGTATTGAGCATATCAGTGTAACTCAAAAGGCCCACTTTTTTAAAAGACCATGTTGTTTTTGTCTGTAACATGTCAAGCAGTTTTAGCAGTACTCTGTTAAAAATCTTAGGAAATCTTATTGAATGGCCCACAGAGAAGTGCCACCTTCTACATCTAACTGCACTGAAACTGATTACTTAAATAAACATGTGACTTTAATATTTTTTTTCATATAAATATACTGATAAAGAGACATTTCAAAGGTCAGCTATGGCAAACTGTCACATAAACTATTTTAACCTCTACAAAGAGTATTCACAAAACTTTATTTTCTGAGGAACTACTGAAAAATATATTCGGCAAGTACAAACTTAGTCCTTTGAAGCTTTATTCATATAGGCAACTCTATCAAAGCTACACAAATAAAACCTTCAGATGATGCAGGTTGTGTGGGGCCAGGACTCAAGAAGGTAATGTTTTAGATGCTCAGAAGTACAAATACATATGGTAAGGTGAAAAACAGCCTAAACCCAGAGGCTGCCTCACGTTCATCTAGAATCTGTGCTGTAAGGTGACACTAATGATCAGCTGGCTCAAAAGCTGGAGAAGCCCTCCAGTATTTATATAGCACTGTGATGGATTTTAGCTTCGTAACAACATGGGACACAAACTAACGAGCACATTGACTCATAAGCCTGAAATCTGAGAGTATGTTATAGCTTTGTTACAATAGCAAATTAGATGGTACAAAATAGTCCTTCAGTGGCAGAGAGCTGTGAGTTTTCATTGCTTTTGATGGGTAGTGATGGGTACTTAAGAAATTAGGGAATTAGGCAGACTAAAAATACAAAGTTTGAGAAGTTCACCAGTCATCCTGTAGGACAGTGGCAGCAGAATTAGGATTTCTGAGATGCAAGTTTTCAAAGTCTAGGGAAGCACCACAACAAGACAGCAATTTCTCTTTTCCTTTCATCTCTTCCAGGGAGTTGTTTTTTCCTTCCTGTACAGTATAATAGTCACATTTTGTCACTGTGGTCAGTAGCACTCCCTCTTTGTTACATACCACAGGACTTGGATTCTTATTTATCCATGGCAGATAACAATCTAGGCCATGTCTGTACAAGAAAATGTTGAACTGGTTTCAAAAGAATGACTATAAGCCTGATGCACTTAAAACAGTTTGCCACTTCTTTAAGTTGTTTTTGTAATTTAGAAAATTCAGCTCGACTGATTGAAGAGATGATAAAGTCAATTTAAGTCACCCAGTTTAGGGAGCTGCACCTGCAACTTTTCCCTCTAGACAAGGTCTTGCCTAGTAAGTAGGAGGATCAATGGCAGGTTAATGCAACTGGCAATATAAGAAGCTGGAAAAAAACCCCCAAACTTGCTATTATTTGTGTGGGCTATTTTGTAAACTATTTAGGCAGGGATTTTTTTTTTTCTTCATAGATATCTCTAAAGTGACAGCTAACGCTCTTCTAAAATTAATCCTAATAATGCAGATAATGATGTGCTAAATTGCTTTCAATATAGTTATTCCAATTTTACATGAGTGTAGTATTGAACTGAATTTAGTCCATTAAGATAAATACAGCTAACTGTAGCAGTGGGCCACTTAAGCCTAGAGCTGTGTGTTCATTCTGGTGGGAACCACATGCTTAGCTAAAAGACAGATAAAAAGAAGTAGATACAGAAGGAGGAGAATGTATTGCTTTGTTTGAATTTACAGTTCACATAGTACTTGTTTTTCTTGGCATATGTTATTTACTATATAATCTAATAGATAAATAAAGGCCCTGATGGTTTGAAGCATGCTAAGTGATGATCTGAACCAGCAAGTATGCCTGGACGGAAAACTCTTAGAGAAACAGAACTTTTATTCATCAGTGTAGGATCAGCTTATTTGCTGTGGCTGAAGGGTTTGATTCTTCTGTCTTTCATGATACAAGGAAAATCAGATCATGCAAAGCACTGGAGTGATTTATTTATTTATTGGCCATATTTTGATTTTTATGCATGTTGTCCCATTGGCATTTCTAACACAATACATGAAAACAACAGGGAGGAAAACCATTTTTTCCTCAGCTATTTGCTCTGTGTTTCCTGTCCAGCAGTCACTGAAGAAAGAGGGATGGCTGCAGAGAAGGTGTCGTGCCACAGCTGTACCAAGAATTTATTCTGTTGATACTAAGAGGTAGAGCAGCAAGTACAGTATTGGTTTCTGCTGTGTTGCTGAATAAACTCAAGAAAGCGGTTTGCAGTGAGGAATACATATCCTCCTGAAACTTATTTCCTCTCACAGCATGTGCCTCCGCTTTCAACAAGAGTGAGTTATGCTATATTAGCAATAAAGGGGAAAAACGAGCCAGATTTTTAAAGGTGCTTAGGCAGCTGAAGAGGTACGTAGATGACTAATAGGATTTAGGATCCAAGCTTGGGAAAGGGAAACATTTAGAAGTCTCATATAAAATTCTTACAGAAAACCTGCAGCTCTTCTAGTCTGCCTGAACAGTGGTAACCTACCATCATGCCATTATTTTAATTAGTAAATTCTTGTGTCCTGGATAGACTCGTTTGACAGGGTTTTCTGATGATTCCAAAGGTATTTCTGGTTTCCACACAAATTACCCTGTGTTCTAGAGACAAAATAAATATTGCTATGAGAATGTGAACCTCTCCTGGAGATAGCATTTTTTTGGTTTTTTTTTTTCTGCAGGTGTTGCTTTACCAGTGACATACATCTCTTCAAAGGCAAGTTATGCTTTACACCACAAATTAATGAGCTGCTTAGTACGTGGAAAGCCAGTATAGATAATGTTCCAAGTCATCTAGCACTTTATGGGAGCTGGAATCCAAGGCCTGATCCCCCTGTCAGTGTCACACACTGGCTATTTCCATCACTTCTTCCCATGGCCTATTCCAGCACTGTTGCAGCCCAGCACATGGTGCTGCCCCGCTGCTGGGAAGGGCAGAGAAGCTGGGGAAGGGTCTGGTGAGGAGCAGCTGAAGGAGCTGGGATTGCTTAGCCCAGAGAAAAGAAGGCTTGGAGTAAGGGTGGGGGCAGCTTAAAGGAGGGTTTGGAAAGGTGGAGGTCTCTTCTCTCAGGTAGCTGGCTACAGGACGTACCTCAAGCTGGGCCAGGGAACATTTAGGTTGGACATTAGGAGGAATTTCTTCATAGAAAGGGATTAAAATGGGCTTCCCAGGGAGGTGGTGGAGTCACCCGAGAGGTGTTAAGCAAACACGGAACGCGGCACTTCTTGCCGTGGTCTAGTCGGAGTGGTGGTGTTCGGTCTTAGGTTGGACTGGCTGGTCCAAGAGGTCTTTTTCAACCCAGCCGATCCTGCGAGATGCAGCAGTCGCCGTGTGCGGCTTTGGACTCGCGCTCCATGCAGGATGTCGCGACGGGGCCTGGGGCGGCCTCCGGAGAAGGGTGACCTGACTGGGCACGCGGCCCTGGGGTCCCGGCAGGCCCGGCGCTGTCCCCGCGCGCGCGGTGCCTCAGGAGGCGGCGGGAGCCCCGCGCTGCCGCTGCCGCCGCCCCCGGCCCGGCCGCGCTTCCGCCCGCGTCAGCTGACTCTGCCAGGCAGCGGCCCGGCCCGGCCCCGAGCCCGCGGAACCTGCGGCGCGGCCACCCCGCGGCATGGCAGGGGTCGTGGTGAGCGGAGCCCAGGTAAGTGTCCGCGGCCCGTGAGGCCGGCCGGCCGCGGCCCCACCTGCCGCGTGCAGCTCGTCCCGGCCGGCGCGTCCCCGCCCCCGGCACTGGGAGCGGCTGCCCCAACTTCGCGCCGGCTGCCGCCGCTCTGCCGGTGCCGCTCCCGAGCGCTCGGGGCGGCGGACGCGCACGGGGCCGGGTTTGTTTCCAGCCGCACCGCGCTCCGGGACGCCGCGCAGGTATCGCCTCCGTCGCCGCCGCGCTGTCCCGAGGCCGCCGAACGGAAGGGGCTGCGGAGCCACCCCCGCCAGCGCCGGGCGGCCCCGGGGGTGCACTCCGAGCCCCGCGGCTCGGGGGGTGCGCGCCCACCGTTGGCGGATGACGGAGCGCCGGGCCGGGGCAGCGTGCCGCTCACGTGCGGCGGGCGCGCTCCCGAGCCCGGGCCCTGGCGGCTCTGCGCGGCGCGCTCCCGGCGGGACGCGCTCCAGAGCGGCTCCGCGCTGCGCGCTCCCGGCTCCGGGAGGCCACGGGAATAAGCTGAAGGAGAAGGCGTGAAATCTGCTAAATGTTGTTCCTCCTGAAACCTCCTACGCACGTTTCTGTTTGGTTAAAGAGAAGTTAGGAAGTATAGCACGTCCTGCTGACTTTTACCCAGAGCCTTGTATGGCTACTGAAAAAAGTTCTGGCTAAAAGTTGATGACATTAGTGATGAACCTGTGGTTAAAATTAGAACTTTTTTTTTTTTCCCTCTAAGGAGAAGGAAGCTTGTCTTATTTTTGAAAATGGTTTGCCATTAAACTATTGAACAAGAATGCTGCCCATCTAATTGCTTCTTTAATCTGGTCACAATTTCTGTGTGGAATTCATTTTAATATGTGTGTGATATGAAGGCAATTTATTGCTAATTTTGCAGCTGCTGCAGGGAAGAGTTCATGTAGTCTCTGTGGTGCCCTCTGGCACAGAGGGACACGCTGCCTTCTTCCCTTGGGCATGCCTTGAGCCCCTTCATTTGGCTGTGTGCCCACATACAATCTCCTAACAGCACAGGGTAAAATGTAATGCCCAGCTGACTGGAAATATTGTCCAGATGTAATTCCCTTCAATAGCAGAGAACATGCAGTATTGAGAGTTCATACATGACCTTTTTGGTGACATTCCTTAATAAAGACCTTACTCTATGGGTTATTAAGATTACAGTATAATTGTAGAATGATCACAGAGACTAAATGGTAATAAACTCTGAAACTAAAGCAGAAAAGAGGTGCAACTGCTTTGATAGTTAACTTATATTTTAAATATTTTGTAACAACATATCTTTTTCCTGAATTGCATACAGCATGTTGAAGAGTCTGCAAGAGTATCTCAGGCCTCCATAGCCTATCCATAGCTGGCCTTTGTGGGAAACTGAACATTTTGGTGGGGTACTGAATAGGGCACCAGTAATGACTGACTGTGACCAACCTGTACTATACCTGAGTTGGAGAATTAGACCACAGAAACCTCTATATCCAGTTTTTAATCCTGTGTGATGTTCTGTGTCTGGTATAGAACAATCTAAGAAATCTGCTGTTGCTGATGTGCCTTGCAGCCAAAGAGCTGGAGTCTTGGGAAAAGTATGCTTGCTCTCATCTCTCAGTGGTGACGTCTCTGGATATGTACTTGGAAGCTCATAATCGTTTTGAGGGTATTTGAAATGGAAGCAAAAGGAAGAATACTGAATTATGTACGTTTTATTGTTTCCCAAGTAAATGATTTTGAACTGAAACAATGAAAATGAAGAAATACTCTTCCTTCTTCTGTCTACTAACATCTTGTTTTATATTAGCATTGTACTATGAGTGTGCTGAAGTGGACTCTGTGGAAGTAAAGTGCCTTTACAAGGCCTCAGCATTGAGAGGTCATGATAACAATATATCATCTGCAAGTATGCTTGTGAATAATCTCTTTGTACCAGCTTTTTAAAATGTATTTTCATATTATAACTGTTCAAAGGCTGAGGCTTTCCAACATTTAATGTATTTTGTGTCCTGTGTGCTCTAAACCACATCTTGTGATCTTTTTCTTCAACCTGTAGTCTTGTGGATGGGGCTTTTATGGTCAGGTAAGTTTCTGAAGCAGTGTTTAGCAGGCCAGAGTCCCCTACTCCCTTTCAGCTGCTCCTCCCTGGGTAAAAGGCAAAGTGAGGGTCTGTGCTCTTGCTTTGTTTGTAGCTCCCCAAAACAGTCTTGTCCTCCCAGTGTTAATAGGCATCATATTTTAGTCATTTTTGTTTCAACACGTTACATTGAACCAAATGCTTAATCCAAAGTGTTATTAAGCTGTTAATGTGATGTCTTTCAAAGGGTTTGCAAGCGTTAATTTAAAGAAATCTACCATTCAGTGGAGAATGACACAGTTCTTTTATGCATACCTTTGTGTATGTTGTAAAATGCATTGTGATTATCTTAGATGTGAACTGGAGGAAAACCCCTACATATTTAATTCAATAAATTCTGCAAAACATTTTCTGTTACATCCGAACCATTAGGATGTAAACTACCCAAAACAGTTCCTTTCCCTTTTGTTCTTATATTTGCTCAAGTTGTGTGTATGTCTGGTAGCAGAATATATTGCAAGAGCAGGTCTGATTTAACAAGGGGAAGAAGTTGTTAAACTGAGTGAGCTTCAAGCTACCTGTTTTCTGCTCATAAAAATTATTTCACTGTTGTCAGCTTTATCTGTTGAAGTTATTGAACAAAATGAATTAAATGGGATGCCATATAGTATTATCAGATGCAATCATTTTTAGAGCGTAGGAGATCAGGATGACTTGCAGAAGTACATACTGTCAGTCTGCTCTGCAGAGGAGTCTCTGTTTTAACAGAAGGTGAAATACTATCAAAACAAAGTTTGATGGATTTTTTTTTTGCATATTTTTCATCCAACATATTTTTGACTAGTGGAATATGGTATTGAAATTGACTTTATAATTAAACATGTGGATAATAACAGTTTTATATAGACAGTGGTCTAACATGGTGCTTAACTTGCTAGTTGGCCATTAAGGGAAACTAAGATTTCTGCTGCACAAAATCTGAAATGTCAGTATTTTGAACACTGAAAGTATGAGCCAATATAGATGTATAGAATTCTTGACAATAGTTTTGAAAAGCTTTGTGGGGTTTCTTTGAAGAAATCAGTCCAATGACTTCTGGGACAGTACAGCAGAAATAATAGAAAAAGTTTAGCTGCTTTATTTTTTGTATTCTACTGGAAATGTTATTACTCACTTCATCCTGACTAAAGATAAATAAAAACAAACAGAATCTGAGTAGACTGGTTTTTGTGCTACCACTAATTCTTCCTGTGTTTACTAAGGATGGGTTAGATGGGCTGATATGAGAAAGAGAAAAGACATTTACATGTATGTGAGGAGTAATGAGAGGTGTGATCTGCTCATAGGTGGTGAAACCAGAAATCTTTAAGATTCTTCCATGACTGAAAAGAATCTTCCTGCTTTGTTTGTCAGGGCATGGGCAGCCCTCTTGCTCTGTCTCTGGTGTGCTACTGGGAGTAATAATCTTCTCAAGGAATAGTTAGGAGAATGGATTGACCATATGCTGCGTAGGCATTTCTGCACCAAAATTTAGAAAACAAACTTTGTTTGTTGTATATGAAGGACCAAACTGGAAGATCCTTTGGATAGCTTCTGATCCTTCAAACAAATTTCTTCTGGAGCATGTCAGAGGTGTAATGTGAAATAACATTAGATCAAAGTATTAATGGTGAGACAGAAGAAATGTGGTATATTTAATCGAAGTATTTTACTTGGAAGGAGACAAAACATACATAAAGACTATAGATGTAATAAATATTAAGTAGATGGTATCAATAGGAAAACAAGTTTGTGTGATAGATTTTATAGCTGTAGAACTTAATATATTTTAAAGCTGTAATTCCAATTCACTGTATTGCATGTTACCATTTTATCAATGAGACAGAATCTAGACAGGGAACTAAATTTACCCATTAAATGTTTCCTTGTTGCTTCTATTTCTCAGGTGTCCTACATTAGTCAGGACTGTGAAGAAATTCCAGAATTCCTAGGAAGAAAATATGGACATATGGCAAAAAGGCTAGACCTTAGCTTCAACTTGTTAAGGTATGTGGTAGTATATAGATTTTCAAATGCAGTGTGGAATTCCAACTCCTTAAGTAGACTGTTGTTTTTTTTCAAAGTAGAAAGATGTAAGTCAGGTACATTTAATTGTTATCAAGTGGACGACACTGTTTTATAGGTAATGTTTGTCTCCTTTTCTCCCACACTTGGAGCAGAAATAACCAGGTGAGTCTGAAAAATTACTATGTGTTGTCATAAATGATGCCCATTGAGAAGCTTATGCTTTGTTCTCTACTTAAATTGGAAAATAAGCATTGTTACCTGAAGAATGGGATCAAAAGTAAATTTTCCTTAACCAAACACAAGTAAGTGTGTGCTTCTCTCCCTTTCTTAAAATTTTATTTATGGATTTCTGGTTATTACTATAAATTCTTTATAACGCTTTTTTTTCCCCAGATGATGTGTTTTGTTCTATGATTTTATTTTCGTGCATCTGTGTAGTTAACTGCTAAAGCTAAATGCAGTTAGACTTTGTAATTCCTTCTAAGTATTTTAATATATGGATTGGATTAGGATTTTGTAGTATTCCTGTTAGCTACTACAGCATACCATTCCATTTAATCCTTATAAGAGAGCCTGCTGAGGTTCAGCCGAGTATATTTCAGGTTGAAAAATGTGGGTAAGTACAGAGAAAGAATTTGAGTGCAATTGCCTGTTTAATAAAAAAATAGGTTTGTGGAGGTAGGGTTGGACTCAACTCATTTTCCTTTTATTTTGTTTGGGGCAAGCTCACAGTCTGCTTGTGAAGAGTAATACAAGAAGTAGTGTGCTGGTGCCTTGCTTTCCTGGAAGAAATAACCACTGATTTTAACTTCCTTAACACTCATAAATGTTCTTCTGAGCCTCTGTCAACTCTGAAAGACTGAATCCTACATGTAAGAGGTAGCAGAGCAAAGGAGACACTAAATCTGTGGACTGTTGATATCTTATACTATGACTCTGTTCTGTTGGATAGTGTAATCAGAAAGGAGAATTTTGCTGGGGGAGGGGATCAAATGGTAATTTCTTTTTGATTTTGTCATGAAGATAATTCAAGGTCTGTATGTGTATTTAGATTTAGCAAGTTGTTGACAAGACTGCTCCTTCTTTACATTTCTGGGAAAAAAAGTGTTTGTCTCTTTCAGTTAATGCATGATTTGAAGAACAGTTCTCTGAATTTGTTTCATTTCATAGAGTAAAATAATAACATTAAATTTGGATGTAAAGTACCACTTTAAAACTGATCATATTTTCATGTAGAGCACAATTGGTGATGTATTTCTGAAATCTGTGTTTTCTTTCCTTCTTTTATTCTCTAATGAAAACACTTAGCCTGTTTTTCACAAGGGATATAGTTGGTTTTATTGAGGCTTAGGGAAGAACAATCAGCTTGTGATGTAGGAGAAGTTGTAGTTGTTAATCTGTAAAAGTATTTTAAGACCAGAAATGAGATTTGGGAAAGGGGAGAAGTGGATTTTATTTTTTTTCTTTGGGAAGCTAACACTAAATGGGATGTGAGCAGTAAGGGTTTTTCATTGAGTAGTGCTTAGATTTACTGAGCATATAGAAACTAAGAAGTATTTATGGTACAGTAGCTGTTGACACTGGTCTGCACTCATATATAGACCCTGTACCTGCATATTATTGAGAAAGTCAGATAAGATATAGAATAAATGTCATAATCTTAAATGTGAATATAGAAGAATGTCTTGGGCAGCTGTTGAAGCAAGTGTAAGCAGGGTCATCTTCTTTAAACAGGTATTATTGCTTAAAAATCTAACAGTGTTGTAGTACAGCAATGACTTTTATGATTTTCATCAGTAAATGCTTAGTTTGAAAAGTTTACGATGTTGTTTTCAGTGGGGAAACAATATCTACCATTAATGTTGATTTAGGAAGGAGTTTGATTTTCTAGTATAGCTTGCTGTCTCTTGGTAGTGGTGTGAGTCGAATGAAGAAGACCAAGGGTGATCAAAATACAGGTAGAGATGAAGAGAATACTGTATTTTGCTAGCACAGTAGTTATTTGAAGTAAAGATGTTAGCTTTCATTATAATTTTATTTATTATTGGATGAAGGTTTGTTTGTGTGGCTTTTGAAAGGAAAAAAGGAAACCAGATGTTCTTACATGAGATGGTTTTGTTACTCAGATTTCCCTGGTTATTTTCTTTTTGCTTGTGATGAGTCCATATAACTGAGGAGGGGAGGGTTGTCGTTAATTCTTTTGAACTGGCAGTTTAATACAGAAGAAAGTGTACATTTTTCACAATTCTTTTCCTGATTTCAGAATTCTTTCCAGGCTAGAGCTCCTTCCTCTTTCTTAAGTAAAATTTAGGGGCCGTGAAGATGCTTAATTATCTTTGCATCAGTTGTGGTATATCTAATATCAGCATTTGATACATAATCACAAACAGTTGCTTTTGTGTCTTTCTTGTCTGCCTTTTTCCAAGAGCTAGTGTCTGTCCTTGGTTATCCTGAGCAGTACATGGATCCAGCTCTTTCCTCCGGCAGTCCAAGTGACTGTTACCAGTCGCAGTGGTTGCACATCCCCTTTTCCCCGTGAGGGAAAGGAAAGAAAGAGGTGAAAGGTACAAGTGAAATTATATGGGAACATTGGGAAAGAGGAGGAGTAACAGCAATTTGTTGTGTGTGAGGCAAAGGGGAAAATGTGTGTGTCCTTAAAAGATGCTGGCTGTAGTCGGCAGGATGTGGTGCCACTGGATTGCCTTCTGTTTATGTCTCTGGCTGATGGAAATCCTTCAATCCCAGATGACTGTAGTCCACTTGTGACTTATTTCTTCTCGTGCTGTTTTCATTACATTGATTTTGTTTGAATGCTTTCTAATATCTTTTGTTTCCTTTTGGGGCCAAGGGGGAGTTGTGAAGAAGACAGAGCCAAACTCTTGTCAGATGTACAGCAAAAGAACAAGAGACAGTTGTCACAGCTGCAGCAAGGGAATTTCCAGCCACCTCAGGGAAGGCAGAGTGAAAGAGGTGCCTAGAGAGGCTGTGGAATCTCCATCCTGGATGATATTTAAAATGCAATTGGACAAAACCACAAGCAACCTGATCTAACTTTTGAAATCCCCCTTTTCTGAGCAGGGAATTGGACTAGATGATCTCTAGATGCTCTTTCCAATCTAAATTGTGCTGTGATTCTGCAGCTTTATTGGTGTGATATGGCCTGATTTGTTGCAGCTCTTTTGATTTCATAGTGATTTTCAGCTATTTTAGAAATGAACTATTTACGTTGTGTATTTTCAGTAAGGCATTTTTCAGGAGCAGAGTTGTTTTGCTTTGGAAATCTGCTCCTGAGCCTCTCATGGCAACTGTATTTGATAGCCTTCCCTAGTAACAGAGTCCTTTCATAATGTGTGGAAAGCATTCCCCAGTTCTCATTTTGTGATGGCATAGAGTATGGGAAGAAGAGACACTGATGTGTCAGTGTTAGTGTTACCTGGAGACTTTGTAAAGGATTTCAGGGTGGAATGAAAAACTGTCGTTGATCATGGAAAGTTAAAGATTTCACTAAAAAAAGAACAAGGTAAGTAGTAATCACTGGTGAAAAAAAGGAAGCAGTAAGTGAGTAGGAAGGATATAATAGAGGTAGGGAGTAGAGATTTGGATGAAATACAAAGATTTTAGTTTAGATGCATCTTGCTATCTTGTGGGAAGAAAAAAACCCAAACAACCCGTAGCTTGTTCAAAGCTTTTTTTACTTGTGCTAGATGACTTTGTTCAAAACTTTTCCTTTCACATTAGAGGCTAAATGCACTCTGGTGCTTGAATAACAGATGTCAGTGGTTTTGTACAAACAGGTGCCATGCTTTTATAAATAATATCTACAGTTCACTTCACTGAGCAGTCCATCTTGTAATTTTGTCCTCAGTAGTTTTAAACATCTGAGTTGTTTTCCTTTTTCTTACAGAGATTTCTTCTCAGTCTAAGCTATGAGGTGAGAGTGAATCTTTAATCTTGGCCAATGAGGAAGGATTAATCCAATAATTGTGCTCATGGAGATACAAATATCTCTTCCCTCTCTCTAGGGTGCAGATTATTTCTGCTAGGAGCCTGAATAATTTGCACAGTATGTGCTTGTGTATAACTTTCACTGTCTGATGAGGAAGGTGCATGTATGAAAACATCCCCTTGAACTTCAGTCCTAGTCTGGAATGTTCCTCCATGACTTTTTTGAGGCTGAGGCTTTGTAATATTTTCTCTGTGGACTAGATATTGTTCTTTCTCTCTTCTGCCTCCTGTTTTTTTGCCTGGGGGAATATGCAAGTGGCAGCCTGAAAATGGGCTCCAGTTTTTACAGGGCATGTTCCTCTTTGTAAGTTGAATACGTGAAAGAGAGGCTTTTTTTTTTTTTTTTTTTTCCCTAACCACCTTCCTGGTCTGTGCAGCACTAAGACATGCAGAACAGGAAGATGAACAACAAAAGAGAGATGGAAATAAAAACCAGAATTCAAAACAAAGCATGACATATTTTTAAAGCCTTTAGACTCATCTTTATAGCACTTTAAAATGTTGAAGAAAATGCACTATTGTTAAAACTTTTTGATGGTTTTATTTATAAGGTAGAAAAATATTTTCACCATAATTGGGTAACTCTTAATAGTAGCAATTGCATATTTATCAGTATGAGGGGCTGTTATTAATGTAGCTGTCATGCACAAACACATTTCTGCATTAAATCCATTTAGTATGTGCATTATTCGGTCTAGAATGTCACCAGGACATCAAAGCCCCCTTAGGCATAAGAGCACAGTGCCCTGCTGTGGCTGCAGAAAGGGCTTGATCAATAAATGTAACATGTTAATGCAGAGCAAATAGAATAAAAGATTTCTTTGACAAGACATGAAAAATCACCTTGTGGCAGCTGGCATGGTGATGCCATTTCAGCGGAGACACTAGCAAAGTTGATCTGACAAGTAAAGAGGAGAGATGATGGTTATAAGGTGCTTTTGTTTCAAACTTCTTTCTTGACCTGTCAGGTTTTG